AAACCATGTTCAACCATACTGTTTCAGCTGACTTTTCCACCTTGCGGTTCTTCGCCTTTCTTCCCATCGGGAAATTGAGTGTAACTGAAAACCAATGTCAGAGTGTGTGTGTTGTTTTAATGCATGACATGTCTATATATATATTATATATATACATACATACACTATATAAGTATATATAGTTGTGGGTTTACCAGTAAGAGTCGGTAAACATTTATCACTATTGTTGAACAAGTCCTTTACTAGGCATCATCATTACAGGGGGCTACCACCTTCTTGGAACTGTATTTCGATTTCATGACCCTCACCAACAGTCAGTCACCGGTTAACACTACATCGGGTAAGGACAGACCTTCGCACAACATTGCGCAATATGCACTGCCTGACATGTGTGTAGGGCTTATGCACAATCCAAAACATTCCAACTCTTCCTTACCTGGCTTGATTCACAAGGTTGCCATACATTTCGTGGTCAGAGGTTGCGAAATCAGAGATTGGACACTCTTGGTTGGCTGGGAGTGCGGGGATGGCACCCTGGTGCACATGGAATCCCCAAACTTGCTTGTGCTTCTGAAACATATGCGCATTTGGATAAGTATCTCAATCACGTATCCCCGCCTGCGCGTAATTTCTCAAGAGCTTGGAGGATGACTTCGAAATCTACGGTGACCCATCCTGCTGAATGCTGAACTCGACATTCCGTTCTAAGTTTTGTTTGCAAACATTCGTTCCCGATGATGATTCTTGTACAGGTTGAGCATTGGGCCACTAGTGCGCTTCAGCTGACTAGTCATCCGTGGCCACAATCAGTGGCTGACTAAGATGGAAAGCGGAATAAATATCCACTGGGAATGGGATAGGCCCAACCTATAGGTATATGCATGGATTCCAGGAGCAGCATGATGCACCAAGCACAGTGATTTGAAAATGGTTTCGGGCTGTGTGTGTGTGTAACCTTTGGAGTCACAAGGTTCCTTTTGGATTGTTTTCTGTTTCAGCAGGGGGACTGCCTGACTTGTAACAGTTGCAGTCCAACGAAGAGGCTGTTACGAGTCACTGACATGGATTCTGGACGCAGAATCCACATACCTGCTTCGTGATGACTTCACATTTCCTACTGGGCCCCGTTGTAATTAGAACACGACCTTCAGCCTTTGCATCGGTTCATCGTCTGCAGACTCTGCACGTTCCGTCGTCCTTGTCGATCGATCACTTCGCGGTTGGGCAATTTGGAACTTTGGAAATTTGAGAACTTTGAGTTGTGAAGGTTTGAACCGCATAACTTCTACTCACCCTGGTTTCTTAGGTTTTTCACTTAAAGACTTAGGCTGGTGTGGCAACCCGCAACCAAATCAGCACGCATTTCTATAAGTGTGTGTGTGTGTCTAAGACGAGTGGGTGCCATAAGATCAGACCAAATTCCATCAATGGACTTGTGTCAGGACTGCCGATCTCTGAGCTCGGAGCAGAGTGGCTAAGGAAAGAGCCATGGAAGGAGTGTGAGGCGCGACTGAACACCAAACGTCTCTGAAAGTCACACCTCACGGCTGCAGAGGGTCCAGTGTGATTTGACTGCAGAACCAGCTCCCGCTCTTGAAGGTCAAGTGTTTGCCGAGCATCGAGGGGTTCATAGGGATTCTCAAGAATTTGCCTTTATTTTTTTGTTCTTTTTAGCCCGCTCCCCCCTCCCTAATTAAGTAAGTAGGCGCCTACTTAATTAAGTAACGGTTTAAGTAGCTACTACCGGACCGACAGGACGCAGGATAGTTCGCGCTTCTTCAACGAAACTCCCCCAGGGCGGCGGGGGAAGCTTCCTTGAAGAAGCGCTCGCACTAATGATTTGGTTCCTAGATTTTTTTAGATGATACCTAGAGCCTGCACTTCACTCCCGTCCATCCTTTTATTATATATGTTTGCCGACGGACCCAGGAGGTTTGAGGGCCACTATGGTCCAGTAGCCCTTCTAACGGTGCTCGGTTTCACTCTACTACTAGGCTCTACACTGCGTCGATCTTTGAACACAGCAAGAAAGAGAATGCTGTGTGCCACAGCCTGCTGGCAAAAACTTATAAAAACTTAAATTCATTCTTACTGGCCGCTTGTTCCTAAACTACCTGCAAAAGTATATAACGAAACTCTTTACAAATTGGCTGAGTTCTTCATTCCAATGCAAAAACATAAGCACAAAAAAGAATACACATTCCATAAACTAATCACATCAACCCTTCTGCAAAAGAAAGAACAACTATCCATGGGTTTGTAGTATGTGCGGTAGTCATAGCACTTGCAGTTGAGCCTTTGGCGAGGGTAGCAATGCGCTGCCATCCACGTCGCCATCACAGAAAAGCTTTACTGGCCATGCGAGGCTCTTGACTTGCGCTCGCAAGGGCATCACAAGATTACGCTGCAGTGCCTTGGCTACTTTTGTTGGATACATGATGTGGATTTTGAGTATGAGATCGTTGAACACTGGTATGTAAGCAATATTATATATACAGGCAATGGATGTCACAGCCTCCAATGGAACCATGCTGAACATGTGATAGCAAGTGTTTGGTGGCATAGTTTTGGCATGCGTTTGCCTTTTATTTCGAATTTGAGCACTTCCCCGTGCTTGGAGAACAGCATGCTGAGAAGGCATATTATATACAATTACATGTACGCGAATTGAGCACAAACCCAACACAGGCTTGAACACAAGACAGAACAACCAGACTATGTAAGACTATACCAAGCTTGTAGGTGCAGAACCGACCCCGGGACCCTCAGGTGCTATTATGGTGTGACCTGCCGATTATTCTAAGACGTTGCTGCACCGCGAAGACGACGGAACGTGCAAATGAAGAGGCTAATTACCCCGCAAACTCACCAGATGACCCCTGGAAGATGATTTCCCGCTACTTTCCATCCGTGGTTGAAGTAACCTTGCCCGGGTTGAAGCTCCAAAGCCAGAGGGTCAGTCCCTCTTCGCTTTTCATCCCCGTCAGGATGTTCACAGCGCAGATGAAGGCCGGGGCTTACACGGGGGTTACCGTTTGCAGTGAGGGTCACCGGTCAATCTCGAAGAAGAAGCTCAAAGAATTGTCACCAATGATACAACTGGGACCGCCCCGCGAAATCGGCTGAGTTGCTCCCGTGTTACCTTACCAGGCGAGGGGGTGAGGCTGACTAGTGATGTTGGATGCACCCAGCGAAGGTTTGTCATTGTGCTTGGCTGCGACAACACAAATTGGGTTCCCTGCAGTGATGCCAACGTTCGAGAAAATCGTGTGCTGTGTAAGGAACCATGGTTTGATGGTCAGTCTTGAAATTGATGCCATTGATCAAATTGCCACAAATTGCACCTGACTCGTTTGGCCACCCTTTCTCATCGACAGCTTCACGTGACACAATCTCAGTACAAATTGTCGCACACTACTGTATGCCTCACTCCCAATACACAAAAAGATTCAACAATTACATAAACGTATCGTGTATATATTTTTTGTATATTTATTTATCCCCGTTGAAATTTCCTCTACAGATAGGGGTAGCTCGAGGCCCTTACAAAGGGGTCATTTTGTAACAAAGCACTTTTTGGCAGACGCCGAAACTTACACCCTCCCATTTTGTAGAGTCAAAATCGGCATCCAAGTTATGATCAAAAAAATTAGAGAACATTTATATGAGACATGAGGACGTCAGGGTACCCTTTTTGTACAGCGCCAAAATCAAGGAAAAACAGGGGGTCAGGGTACCCTTTTTGTACACGTTTGAGTGTTCGTTTCTTGGAGTCAGATTCTTTAGTCGCCTGAGTCAGATACAAATACATACTCCGAGGTGAAAATTGATGGTTTGTATTTTTTTGTTGCTTCGTCTTCGAACTCCAGGGGGCAACACACTGTTGCGCCATCTACAAGTCCAAAAACCCTGAAAAACTACAACATTTTTGTTGCCAAAAATCTTGCCCTTTTTTCTGCGCATGGAGGCTTTGTGTCAGAACCACAGATGGCGCAATGCCAATCAATGCATACAGTAGGTTTCAATTCTGCAAATCTCACCACTGATCCTTCAATGTCCAGATTCCTGAGCAGTCCTTGTGTTTGTTTGCCGCGTTCATTTGTTAGGATGGGGAAAAGAGCTTTGGGATGCGCCATCTATAGAATCTACAAAAAAACGCTTGGTTTGGTCAAGGTGCAGCCTTAGTTTTCGTGATGATTAATGTTCAGTATGTGGTGTTGAGCCATCTATGGCTATGCCGGTTACCCCCTGAGTTGCGCCAACAACTTTTTCAGCGGCGTACCCGGTGTACATAAAACAAATCCACTCTGCATCCAATGGACTCGTCCCAGTACACGTGGTGCCAACTCTTCCTTCCGCTGACCAAAGAGCATTGAGAAACTCAGCCACGATTCATCAAATGAGGATGGACCAAAGATTTGTTTACACAATGACTGTCACCAATGTTTGTCTTTACAAAGTGGGCATGAACAGAGAATCATATTGGCATGTCACACAAAGTCGGCATGAACAAAGAATCATATTGGCATTTGAATGCATTTCACACTATTTCACAGGACAGCAAAGGTCAAGTTTAGAATGGATAATGTGAATTAGTCTCCAAATACCTGAGGTTCACATTTTGTAGAGATAGTTCAGGGTCATCCCCATTTTGTACTGTAAGCAAGATTTTTAGATGTAAGCACTGTTTAATATACTTTCCGTTAGCACCGCAAGTTCATTAAACAAAAACACAAAATAATATAGTTTCTGACATCGTCTATTAGAGTCCGATGTTCAACATATGCCATTGCACAGTACAATCGCCGCTCAAGTTTGGATTAAAAAAAGAACAGTCAGATGCGTGCGCACACAGTTTCTCTACAGAATGGTTCCGGAATGGTCAACAAATGGAGTCTTAAATCATGTCCTCGACCAGGTATTTGATACCATTTTGTAGAGAACTCACTTTGCTAAATGGCTGTTTTATGCACTTTTCAGCACAAGATAGTGATCTTCAGGCATAACCTGTTTGTATAAGCCCACTCTGGCTCATGTCATTTTGTACAAACCCAATGCCCTTGGGTCAGGGCTTTCTGTAGACTGCAACCCTGGAGCCCTTACAAAACTGCGGTTGTCAACCCCTCCCCCTTTATTTCAAAGGGGATATTTATTTATGATTATATATAGACAAGGCAATTCTGGAGGGCTAGAACTGAATGTTGGCTTCCCTTCAATTGCTCGGTTCATCGTGTCGACCTAAGGGTGTTCTGCGACCGAGGTCCAAACAGGTGATGAAGACGACGTTCGACAAAGGGCATAATTACTACTAGTAACAAGTGCATTTACTACTAGTAGCCAAAGCGAAAGGAAATGGCTAATAGATGCTAATAGTAGCTTCTTGTTACTGGTAGTAGTGCCCTCGTTACTAGTAGCGATGCACTTGTTGCCCGGTGGACACGAACGGCTCTTTTGGCACGTCGCGTCCAGGCAGGCCGCTGCAACTTCGATGGCGTGGGCCGGGGCTGCGTGATCTTCCTCGCACAGCGAGCCTTAAGCTGCACAGCATGGCCGTGGCCGTGGCGCCCCCGAAAGGAGAGACCAGACCCTGCAAAATCACCGTTCTTCGTGTGTTTTTTTTTGTTTGGGCGGCGGGGCGCTCCTCTTCGGTGTTCAGGCATGTGGTGGCGGGCCGGATGGTTTGCGAAACCAGCTCACATTGTTTGCCAGCAGTGCGGGGGCTGGCAGAGACGAGGAACCGGATGGAAAGAATTAATTACTGTACTTTGAATATCATCACTATGAAATGTTCAAGTTCTTGAATTGCGGTCAGAAGATGATAGGTGGAGTTTCGGAATGTTCCAGCAACATCAGTCGTTTATTTTGAGCCTCCCTGTTAGCCAAGTTCGCCGAGCCTACCGCCCTACCGGCTGTGACAAGGCATTGACAATGACTATGACCTGCAGATGGGCAAAGGCCTCCCCTGGAGCGGCCCCTGGTCAGACAAAGTACAGTGGTCCACCAAGTGTTTGCTGTTTCCAGTCCTGTGACTTACTATTTGACTTATCAAGACTCTCACATCTTGGTTTTGGGAGGGTGGGGTGAATGGTTGAGCTGGAGATTGCTGTCAGGATCGCACCTAAAGCGGCGGTTTCCAGCAGATCATTCGACCGTGCTTCAGGATGGTCTCAGAAGGTCTCAGACCCCAGTAAGTAGGTCGTAGACATGAGATGACACCTTTGAAGCTGAAAGTGCAGGATTGTCAACACAGAAGGGGGGGTTCTGATTTTCGTGCCGCAAATGTTCACCCACTTGAAGGAACTTCCCACACTGGAGCAGTTCGGCAGCTCAGGTTGGTTGGGGCTGAACAATACACAAGAGAAGGTGGTGGCCCTATCTAGCGCTGGCAGCACTGGCGGTGCGTCTGGGGTGAGCTTTATGCGATGCTCTGTTCAGGCGCACTCTGCCAGCATGCTTCCGTGCTTGAAGTAGAGATTGATGTGAGTAAATCATGATAGATCAACAACAGTTAAATTGTACGTGGATTGGGCCAGGTTTTGGTGAAGCTTGGGCAGGTGGTCATGAGTCACGGGATTTGTTGGATTCGGCTTACGATGTGCAGGTGAGAAATAGCACCGCCTTTATGATCCTCAGCGCGCCTTGACGGCCACAGCTGGTGTCGTGGGTGAGAATAGGGTCAGGCCTTGGGACAGATTCTGGACAGTTCCGGGTTTCATAGAGCGTGGGTGCTTGCTCTTGGACGTCTTGATTTGCCTTGTCAACCCCATCAGTCTTTTAACAAAAGGCTGCTTCAGCTACCTCAGTTCGCCTTGCTTCGGCAAATTGGAATCGTAATTGTAATATATTGTAATGTATTTCGCCAGTGAATTGGGGTCGATGCTTCATGCACAAAAGTCCCAAGGATTGGTTCTCGCTTCAGGTCACTCTTCGTGTCGGACTTGATCCCAAGATGCCAACGGACTTGCAGCGCCACTTTCGCACCCCAAGATACCCCCCATTCGACTACTTTCGCAGCCTCCATTCGTCCATGTTCACCCCCTCTATCTCTCTTTGTCCTCGTGGCGTCCGTGTCCTTTGGGCACCGGCACTCAGGATGAGCCACCCCCATATCGCGTGGAGAATTGGTCAGACTCGAGGACCTTGGCGGTGCGCTTTCTAGGCGCCAGCCACTTGAAGCGTGGCGCGTGGCGCGGCGCTTCGATGTGGGCAGTACTCGTATAATCCAGGTCAGACCAGGTCAATGTATGTATGTCCAGTGCGACTTATAGGGACTTATCAATTTTCGGTGCAATATTGGCATGATTGGAGGTGACGACTACTGCGAGATCCTCCCGCCATTGTCTTGGTTTGCCTTTGACTGGCCCACGCGTGCACAGCATGAAAAGACGCTGGGCACTTGCATTCCGTGGAAGTCCAGTTGCCAGAAGGAGAATGGCTACAGTATAATTAAAGTGGTTGCATTCATTGGTTCTGCATGTTTTTTCCGATAAAGGTTGGAGCTTGCTCCTCCTTCCCTCCTCAGATCCATTGCTTGCCACCGGCAATCCAATGGGTGCTTGGTCAGGAAACTTCCGAAGGACGAACCTGAAACAATCGTTGCACTACTCGTCATGCGCCTAGCGCCTAGGGATACAAGAAATGAAGACAACAGATCATAAGACCACCATAGTCAGACATAGATCCTTTCATAAATAACAGGAATGGACGACGCGCGGGTCGATCCGCTCGGTTCCCTTCCGAGGAAAGAGCGTTATTTGATTCTTCAGGACCGCAGAAGTGGTCATGGCAGCAAATAATCTTGCAAACAGGCGCCAAACATTGTCCATATCAAATTGGTTGACTCGTTTTGAGGGAAGGGCTCTTCTCAAACCGAGTTGGCTGCAAAAGCATATACAAATTACATCAAATTACAACGCTCTCCATCGTGCAGCTTTCGTTGTGCAGGACCTTCTCACTGAAAAGAAGGAGATTTACCAGGCCCAGCTGTGTCGCTACCAGTTGACCCCGACACGTGACACACAAAGAAATGTGAAGGGGAAAGAACCAAAGAGATCAGAATTGGTTTGAATGAGAATGACACTCCTTATCAGTCATCAACCACTAACAAGATCCTAGCATGATTCCGATTAGTTCCCAACATCGTAGTTTGTAAACACAAAACAAGACTCTTGATATTTTGAGCTTTTCTTATTCCCGGCCATCCAATCTTTTAGATTCAGCCATGGTGGGTTTGGGGCGGTCACGGAATGCTTCAGAGCCATTTCTCAATGTCCGACCCCTAAACACACACAACAATGCTTGCACAACCACCACGTGAGACAACTTAGGACTGTTAGACTCCAAGCCTCAAGGCTCTATCGATGAGAGAGATAGATGATAGATGTGCTTCCGACAAATCGTTCCTGGACGCCTCACATTCAAGAAAATCTCTACAATCTCCACTAGGTCCAGCCATCGTCCAACTGCCAGCATCTTCGTTTTGATCCCTCTTCTTCTTCTATGATTATTAGTTTTCTTGTTCGTTTTCCTCTACTTATTTTTTCTTAGTCTTCTTATTTTTGTTATTCTTATTGTGTTATTTTCTTCGAATTTTATTTGCTTCTTATGCGTCTCTCTGTTTACTCTTATTTGTTCTTAGATTTTGTTGGTTTCTGCGTATTGTTCTATTGGTGGTATTCTTCTTTTGTTTATGTTTATCCTTGTTCTTCCTATTTCTTATTGTTCATATTAGTAGTAATTTTATGTTGTGTCTTCTTCTTATTGTTTTCTTATTATTGTTGTATTTATTATATATATTTCTTATTTTTCTTATTCTTATTATTCTTCATCTTTTTCTTTGTATGTTTCTTTTTCTTGTTGCTTCTTCTTGTTCTTATATACTATTATTATTATGTTTTTCTTTGTGTTATTTTTATTTGTTGTCTTCTTGATTTGCTTCTTTTTTCTTGTTATTTTTTCCTTATTCTGTTTCTTCTTATTATTTGTATGTTTCTTATGTTTTTCTTATTTGTTTATTACTACTATTATTATTTATATTCTTATTTTTATTCTTCTATTTTTATTGTTTTATTTGTTTTATTCCTTTCCTTCTACCTAGAAGAAAGGCCTAGAGACCCACGTCCAGCCGCTTGCAAGGCCCACGACTTGGGCCTGGGCCCGCCCCTGAAGTTGGACACCAACGCCGTGGATGTCACCGGGCAGAACGCGGAGCTCACCGAGGAGTGTTCTCTCTGGACGCGTGGGATCGTGAACACCTGGTGTAAAGGTGTAGGGTGTACGGTGTGTCCCAGTGACCCTGGGAAAATGGATTATTATGTTTTAATTACAATAACAATAACCCAGAGAGTCAAAAGACCATCGATTTTATAGTCTTTATGTGAAGGACGTAGACTCTTATGGTCGTTCGCGAGTCACGCCTCATCACGCGCCATCACGCACCCACATGTTTCTTTTCGAGCGAGCGGTCTTCAACCTTCACTTCCTCCGATTAGAGGATTGACGCAGCCTCATGCAGCGATTTGATCAAGTCATTATAGGCACACCATGTTTGAAGCTCCATATGCACAAACAGATTTCTCTAGATTCCTGACCCAGAGCGATGTTGTCACTCATTGCATATCACAGCCCAGAAGCTTGAATATCTTGTGTTTCAAGGTCCACAGGCGAAGTTTGCTCATACGCAATGCCCACCCCCTTTGATTGGCACCATGAGCTCGTAGCACCGTACCTCAGATAGTGATCCCGATCAATCCCTACACTAGCACTCACCAATGCATGGTCCATGGTGAATATATGCAAGCAATATTAGTTATTTTGCCACTGGGATACGTCGAAGCCATCCCATGTTATCCTCGTCCACGAAGCAATGGTGGTATCGAAAGTTGCATCCTGGACAGAATGCCGGAAACGCGCAGAACAAACACCTTTTGCGATAAAACACTTGTGTGTGCCGTGCACATGCATCATAACACATGTGCATACAAGATTCTCTTTCGAACTTGTAAGAGGAGGTGTGCAAGGCCTGGGCATGAAGAACACATTCTCATGGTTGTGCACGTCCACGTGTATGACATCAATATAACATCGAGTCTTTGAACAATTCTGCAAGCGAGGTGCATGCAGTTTAGGACGGATGACAAAATGCGGCTTCCCAAGCCTGCAGTATGCAAGTTAACAGCTTCTAGATATCAATTGTGTGCGCACACAATCAAACAAAGATCGATCGCAAAGAGGTGCCTTGCGCTTTCAGCATTGAGCAAAACGTGCATCCTAGCAAAAAGCATTCCTTCGTGATGGATCTCATCTGCCTGTCGTTGCGACCTTATGCTGGTAGTTCATGTGAGTAATTGTGACGCTTCAGACGTGAAAAAGGATTCATGCGGCTAAAGCACAAGAAGCGAGGGGCAGCCTCCACCAAATGCATGAATCTCGCAAGCGCCGTCCTTGTGACAACATGCCAGTGCAGGCCAAAAATAATACAGTACATGGCAGTGTGCAGTACTTGCAAAACAACACGCTCACATGTGCATGCAGCCGGAAGGCATGCACACTGACATATGGCCAATTCGTTCATCCGAGGTGTGCATCGCAGCTGCAGTGCGCATGACGTGCTCAAGCCACAATTGTATGCACCGATTGTTGTATGCCTTTCCTGTCATGAGGATTTCATCCGATGACTTCACAACCTTGAAATGGCAGAAGTGGCTGAGTTGTGCACTCATGAATTCAAAACATTGTTTTTCATGCCTGCATGCACCTTCCTGCATGCATGCATAACGTCCCAGGAGCACAAGCGCCGCAAGTGAAACATAATTAGCCCAGGTGGCAAGCTTCACAGTGAATGGAGGTTGGGAACAGCGAATCTTGGCTGTCTTGAGAAACTCTTTGAAGCTCATGTACGCCAAGTCAAATTGCTCCTGCGAGTATTGAGAGCAACAAACAGGTCGACCTAAAGCAAGCGTCTCCTGCAAAGTAAGATCTCCGTGGCGACCAAAGATGTCAGTGCTCTCCACGATTGTCATCCTAGGATCGAGAATCAGCAGAAATGCAGATCGTAGTGTGCATGCATCATGTGGTATTACCATTACCATAGTCATGCGGACATGACTCAGACAACTGCCGTTTACACCATACATCAATCCAAGATTGATGCAGTGCATCGAACAGATTGCCAGGCAAGATGGATCGAACCCTCGCAAAAGCACGAGTGGGCCTCAATTGAACAATGATAGAACAAACCATCCACATCCATCGATCCACAAAAGATCAGTCACATGAAAACTGACTCCACAAGTAGAGCAAGGTTTGAACACCTTGCCGAGGAGCTCGGGCCCCGCGAAGGAAGTTCACACCGAATGAACTCTGGACAATCGTACTGGCAGTCCCACAGTGGGTTCGATTCTGTGACATTGGTATACCGGTGCGCTCCAGTACGATATGCCGGACACAGAAAACAAACTGGCTTCCTGGCACCAGCCAACCAAGTGGAATTGAATCTCAGCACTTGTTTGTGCCAGACCCAATCACCGCGCAATTCGACAACCTGGAAACGCTTGCCTGTGATCGGCTTGCCAACGCGATGCCTGAATCTTTCAGGGATAGCCTCCCCGAATGGTCCGCATGCCGGAAATCGATCCTCCCACAGCATGTTCAGGCTCCAGACCAACCGAGCATAGATTCTGTTTAGGGTCACATGCTTGAACAACAAGTTCTCATCGATAGTGCACAGTAGCCACCGACTCGCCCTTGCATTGTTGGGCCGGAACAAAGGACAATTCAAGAATATCCCAACTGCCTTCTGCACCGGCTGATGTGCGATGTGCCTTATTCGACATGAATCACCGTACAATCCCAAAGGGATAAAATCAGTTGACTCTGCTCGAACTGCCCAGGCGGTGCCTCGATTGCGATGTTCTGTCCAGAATGTTCGCACCTGGTTCTCATCGATCTGCAACCCGACATCGTTCCACAAATATTGAATAAGACTGAAAGGTTCAAGCATCTCGATATCTATCCATTTGAACCCCCTCTTACTCTTGAGGTCTTTCACCGGAGCTCGAACTGTCGCCGTTTCCTCATGCGTGCATGGTGAAACGGCGTGCAAGGCACAAAAAGAACACGCATCGACCGACGTGTTGAGGGTTGATTTAAAAACAAACTGTGTGCATGCATTTGATGAATGGACGGCCAAATAAAGCCCAAGTCTCGACCGGTACATGGCAAAAACTAAAGAAGTCACGGACAGTATTGAACTTGGACCTCGTTGCCAATCGAAGCACTGCAGAGCTCTTGATTCTGCTGGCTCCAACTTCCTTAGTCGCCGCCACGGGCCGCCACATGTGTTTTATAAGTTTTTGCACATTAAATTACTCATGCATGTATGTCATTTGCGTGCATGCCGATGCATCGATGGAAACGTTTGACTCCATTGCACTAACATGGATGCAGTTTCATTGTTTAGTTGAGCTTCTTTGTAATGGTTTCTGAGATTCCGCATTGCTTGCTTGATACTGGAGACCTTAGCTGTGATCAGTCACATATTTAATCAGCCAATATACGCAAGTTTGCAATATGAGATCTCTGTTGGACTCGACTGCATGATTGGGAATCATGAGGAATCAGTGGTGCATGGGTCAAAGCACGGAAGACGCGCATCCAAGGAACACTACCTGCGACATCATCAACAGCGGACAGCACGAAGGAGGACAGCTCACGGTTGCGATCGCGGTCATAGGGGCCTGCACAGATACGACGTGCAAATTCTAGATCATGTTTTATCAAAGGTCGACCGACCACACACATGCATGAGCATTTGGTGCACATAGATTCGGTTCCAGAAATTCATCGATGCGTTAACTGTTTTTGAAGCCGCCCCAATCAGCTTCAGATTGATCCTAATGATCAACACTTGTGATCTCATCTCGAGCAAATAGATGTGTGTGTGTGCATTCACACACTTTGGTAACAAAATTACCACATAGCAGGCTCAGAATCGAGCAGCCACGGTCTGACGTGACCACTTTGGAATTTGCTATCCCGCTATTGGTATGTGTACTGTGTGCACCAACCCTATATCGAATATCGATGTTGTTCATGTTGTTTTTTGTAACAACATATTTCATGAGACTTCTAGTACGGTGCCAAAAGAGCCGGTCTTCAGCTACAGCAATTACAACATTGCTTTGCAATTCTTCCATTCTTTCAGAACTCTGTTGGCTTCAGCAGTTGCTGATGACATTTTCTCCACCTGACACTCGATGCACAGATCCGGGACAGGTAGACGGAGTAACATAAATGGAATATTAACAACTCACGACAGAGATTGTGATGTCGATGTATATAACATCAAATGCACATGTTTTTTTATAAAATAGATGACCTCATCGCCCTCAATCAACTCAGAGATGCCGGTCTTCGAAGTCGCCAGAGCCGTCCGATTCACCTTCAAGGATTCCCTGACCGCGTCTCGCAAGCTGGCCGACCTCAAGCAGAGGTGGCTTTGCATTTGGGCTGCAATATTACGATGATATCACATCATATATAACATCCTGAGTCGCTTGAGCTGCGAACCCTACGTATGATTTGTAAAATGTCGAAGTCAATTGGCATTATCGAGTGATTTCCCAACAAATGTGTCCAAGTTACAGTTCACCGGCTTTCTTTTCCCGACGGGAGATGTCCGCAAGCGATGCCACCAATTCATTCAAAGCCTGACGGTTTGAACTTGTCCCATAACTTGCTACGTTGAGATGTCCGAACACTCGAAACAAAAGTCATATTTGAAGAAGAAGCACATGCATGCATGCGTGCACAGGCTGGCTCGTTTTAATTTATATATGCATATGAACAACAGCGTGAAAGAGGTGCATGGCTTGCCCAGGCCCAAGCCTTCTTTCCTTTTGATCGAATCTCTTGCTTCTTCTTCTCCTCCTGCTTGGCCTTTTCTTTCTCAGCCTTCCTTCTTTCTTCATCTTTCCTCTTCTCATCCTTCTCCTTTTCTTTCTGCAATTCCTCTGCAGTCTTCTCCTTCTCCTTCTCAGGCTTCTTCTCAGGCTTCTTCGACTTCGCTTTTGTCTTTTTCTTGCCCTTCTTGTCCTTGGAGCTCTTCTTCTTATCCTTCTTGCCATTCTTGGCATTCTTTTTCTTCTTATCCTTCTTCTTCTTTTTCTTGGCATCCGAAGTCGAAGAACTATCAGACACCTCGCTGCTCTCCTCATCAT